GGGGCAGTGGCGGTGTGCTAAAGGGCTGGAGAGGAAGGAGAATTTTGACGGGCTGGAGCATATAACATAAATTCGAAGGAAAGCGCTTAGTAGAAGCGGGAAAGACCCCCGCCATGCCCTCTTCGCTCTCTCCTGGCACGCACCTGAGCAGTAGCCGCAGGATGCACCCGAAGGAGTAAGGGGGGCGGAGTCCCAAGGAGCGGAACCTGGAGCCCCACGTGCCGTTGTTCTTGTAAAAGTACGTCAGATGACCCACGTTCCACGCGACGCGCACCACGGGGTACTTCTCCATGCGCCCGAAGAGCGCCTCGGGATCCACCTTCATGGCCGTGAGCGCGATTCGCGGCACTCTACCCGACTCCACGGGTTCCGTCTCGTTGTTTATGAACTGCACCGGGTCGATTTTCACGTCAGGAGTGGGCCGCCAGTCGAACGTTGCCGGCTCGAAGGCGTGTAGCAGCCACGGGTGTTTTACGACGAGCGCGCGGCCGTCTAGAAGAGCCGTTATAAATGTGGTCACTAGGCCCGTGATCGTGTCGCCGTACCCGCCTATCCCCGAGTCGTACGCCAGAAAGCGCGGCGTGGACGGTAGAGGGTCTAGGAACGAGTTCGCGAGCGCGGCGTCTGATGCGGGCGAGGAGGAGGAGGTGACTGGGGGAGAGCCGGAGGGTGCGGCAGTGGAAGGGGAAGCTAGAGAGGCAGGCGCGGCGGTTGACCCGGGAGCTCCGGTTGCTGCGGCCGCAGCTGTACTGGCAGTGATGGGTCCGGCGGCGCGGCTGAGAGCTCGCATGTGGTCATTTAGACGCACCGCGAACTCCTTTAAATTGCCGCATAGGCGGTCCGGGTAGGAGAAGTCGAATGGAGAGGGTAGCCCTGGACATGCCGAAGCGATATCGTGCGCAGCGCGCACCTGGCGGAGATTGAAAGGGGAGGGGGAGGAGAAAAGGGGGGAGGACGGGGAGGGAAGGGGAAAGGGATGCGGGGAATTGGGTGGGGAAGACGGCAGGTACAGCATTGACGGATACGGCGCGTGGGGAGGATAGGTGGGAGAAAGCAGATTAGTGTGCGCAAGGAGCAGGTGAAGCAGGGAAGGGACGACGGGATGCTGGAGTGAGCAGGTAGGTTATGCGCGCCACAAGCGTCGAGTCCAAGCGGTGTCGACGGGGCGTGAGACTGTTAAAAAAATATGGAAAAACACGTTACATGCTTCGAAGACAAATGCGTTAAATTCGTGGGATCTGGAAAAGAAGTGCGAGGCTCACCGATGGGAATAAGGTGAGCAACTGGGAGAGCGTGCAGAGAGCTAGTAGAGCTAGCAATCTGGAGTGAATCATGGCGTCGTTTTTGCTAAAGTCGTTGAAAATTAGTTGAGAAGCCCAAATTGTGGCGAGAGTCGATATTAGGACTAGAAATATGCTGAACTGGTGAAGTTGTTCTTCTTGTAGTGGTAAGAACATGCTGAACTGGCGAAGTAGTTGTTCTTGTAGTGATGAGAGGTAGTTGAGCAGGGAGAAATGAACGTCCATCCAAAACAGTACAACAGGTTGGTGGCTGCAACTGGTTGTTGCTACACATGATGCTCAGCTGTTGCACGCACATTTGTTCTGCCTATATTCGACAGCCTGCCCAATTGCATTTGGTACCAGCCAGTTGCACGCACGATACAAGCCCATATTTTGATCGGAGCCGTTGAACATACAGCTTATCAGCTGGTCAGAACACATCGGGTCCGTTCGTGAGATTTTTTGAAGGCGCTGGTTACATTTCTTCTCCTGCCCACTACAGACCCGATTTTGCCCGTGGCGAATGTTGGCGAGCAGGCGAAAAAGCTGTTGCTCATTAAAAACCAAAATGACGAAAAAAGTTGTGGGTACTTAGCGGGCATCATGTGTAACCACTTTCAGACTGTTTGCGACGAAATCGGCACGAAACTCTCTTTGCCACGTCGTGGCTAACGAGGGAATGGGGTTACAAATCCTGTGACCAATGGGAATGGGGCGAGGGAACTGTGTTTGCATCATGCAACAGTGCTGCACGCGCAAATCGAAAGCTGCTTGCCGGCCACCCGAGACGCGAATTTGGGGGAAACTCGCAAAAGTCTTCTCCAGTCTCCACCACTCCACCACCACTGTACCATCTCTGGCCCACAGACATCAATCCCATCGCATCCAGGGTTTCGATTTGTTTTGGGCTACACTGCCAGACCCGAGTTGTGACCCGCTACACCCTGCCCTGAAGGATTCCTTAGAGTTAATACCCATAAAGCAGTTGATGGCCTTGTTTCTACAGGTGAACGATCCACCCCTTGTTGAAGTTTCCGAGATTGATGCACCCGTACCCATAATTGCAGGTCAGACGTGGCTTATCACGGTGGTAATAACTTCCAACAGAAGAATGAAAAAGCTCACGTACTGCCCTTATACAATTGAAGATTGTCATGACCGAGGACCACACTTCGTGGGTGCCCATGCTGTCCGCGGATATTCAACTACAGTATTTCGATGCTGGGGTTACCTAAGGGCGGATTCTGGGATCTGGTCAGAACCTCTGATCAAACCTCTGGTCAGCCGAAATCATGCCTATTTCTCACCATTTGTGCCAATTTTAGGTGATTACAGTAATAACCAGAGGTTTTCCCAGAGGTTAGACCATAGCCCGGAATGCGCCCTAAGTTTCGAGGAGGAGGGTTAGTGGTCTCTCAGGATGTGATTGAATCGAAGACAAGTAGGCATAATAGGAATTCCTACACCTATGAGATACATTGCCTCCTACAGATGTCTGTTTCGCATGTGAATAGATTAAGATAGGGCATAAGGTAGGGCACAGAGAAAGAACAGACTTGCAGACCACGGCAAATCTGCAAGCAAACCACTTCGCATGGGTTATGCTCATTCCCAATACTTACAATCTCTAGATGATTTCACAAGTAATAGCTGGCACTCTACGACAACTTCCAAAGTTTTTTTTAATGTTTTCTTAAGAAAAAGAACTTATGTGCTGAGAGTGCATTATCAATCATTTTGTAAGTACATGTGGTGGATTTTGTCAGGATTCCATTCATGATAAACCATCATGTTTACGTGTATACTTTTGCGGGTCACCACTTATCGCAGTGAGACGGTCCCCGACACCGAGCCATAACAGGAGGTCTGGACTTGTTGGTGTGGTCTGCAAGCGCAAACCTGAAAGCCCCCATTCACCTATGACATCGCTGCGCCAGTTACCCCACCACATGATGATGTGCTACACTGCGGATCACTGGGTCGCTGCTCGTCTCCTTCCTTGCGGGTCCCCTCCATAACCATCACATCCATACATTCGCATGGGTGGACATTTGCGATTGGTCCCCTTCCCACACACCACCAGCCCCCAGATCTAAAGCAACCCCTGCAGGGAGCGAGAAGTGTGTCCTTGAAGTTGTCGGGACGGCTTGAGCCTCAAGCGAAGCAGTTTGCAAAGCTAGGTGTGCTTTGCACTTCGCACATAGTCGAGCAGCAGCAGGCCTGGCCGTCGACGTGTTAGAAGGCTTGGACACGTCAGCACGCATGGAAGACACTCACAAAAGCGTCTGCTGGGACGCAGACGTGGCGCTAGGGCAAAAGGAACAGAGGCAGCCCCAGCTGCAGCAAGAGCAGCAGAAGCAGCAGAACGAGCGCAGCAGAGGTGCTAGCGATGTGGTACTCGTCTCAGGGACACGCTTCACGTCGAAGCCGTCGAATATTTCCTCGCTCGACGCGACTCTGCCTCTTGTGCTGCCGAGACGCCGAGATTCGACAGCCGCTCCGGTGGGTAGCATGATGGGATCCGTTAAGGTGACGATCGTTGGTGTTGTGAGAATTGTAGAGGCCTTTTAAGGGGCTACCGGCGCGGTATTAGCGGAGCAGGAATATCATAATAAACTTTGTTAGCAGTGTAGCATCATGGTAGTGTAGTTGATGTTCTTCTGATCGCTGCCACAGAGTTACGAGACGACTCTTGCTCGGCTCAACGGTCGGGATCCGGTGACGTTAACTTAGTATCTGAGGTTGGCGGCGCGGCCGAAGCGTTTCGCGGCAGTGTATACTTCGATTCAGTACGCTAGCTGTGGATCCGTGGAGGCACAGACTACACTGCGTGTACTGTAGATGTGGCTAATTGCACTGTAGGTATGGCCTTATACGACGAATTCGGCGTTAAGAATCCTTTTGTTCCGGGCTCTCTTCCCCTTGTTCTGCGTGTTATGCGTGAAAATGACTTGCTATGGTTCGATCGTGGAGCCGTGAAGAAGGCTCGGATACCGCGAGGAAACCATGGTTAGCAAGGCAGTCGAGAGCATCCGTGTGAGCTCGTGAGCTTGTGAATACTCCAGTACGTGAGCACGTCGCACATGAGCACGTGCCTGTGCCTTTGCTCATGCGCGTCCGTCCGTCTTTCCCGTCCCGTCCCTTCCGCTTCCCGCCTTTCCCGCCCAGAGCCCCGATGCGAAGAACCCAAAGTCGTACGAGTTGCGGCGATCCGGACGTAAGAGGCGCCCCCCAGAGAACAGCGACTTCGAGTACGTCGACTTTGACCCGTACCGGCCCCCATCAGTCAAGAAAGTCAAGCAGGTACGAGTTTTGAGTTCCGAGGTTTGAGTCGACTCAAGGCCCCCAAGGCCCCCAGAGAACAGCGACTTCGAGTACGTCGTCTTTGACTCGTACCGGCCCCCATCCGTGAAGAAGGTCAAGCAGGTACGGTACGGCCCATGGCCCTGCCTATCGCACTTACCCATATGCTGGTCACAGAGTAAACTATGAATCGGAGTTGTTGCCTCTGTGTGTGTGTGTGTGTGTGTGTGTGTGTGTGGGTGTGCGTTCAACGGTATTTCCTTTGTTTCTCTCTTTCACCCCGTTTTTTTTTTTCACCAGGTAAAATTCCGTATTCCCCGTAAAAAAAAACATTACACCCCGTAAACAATGTTTTCACGCTCTCTCCCTTGCTCTCCGCAGAAGCCGTCCCACACGTCTACCCCTCGCTCTTTC